CTCTTCCCTCCAGGGCTTCATCCCATTGTACTCTAGCGAGGAGATCCCTGAAGAGGCTGAAGTCTGCTCTCCTGAAATCTAGGGTAGTGAGCTTGCTGTGCACCCTCCTTGCTTCCCTAAGAATCTTGCATTCCACCATTTCATGATCACTGCAGCCAAGGCTGTCCTTGAGCATCACGTTCCCCACCAGCCCTTCATTGTTAGTGAGAACAAGGTCCAGCAAAGCACCTCTCCTCGTTGGTTCCTCTGCCACTTCAGAATAAAATTATCGTCCATGAATTCCAGGAACCTCCTGGATTGCCTACACCCTGCTGTGTTGTCCTTCCAACAGATATCAGGGTGGCTGAAGTCCCCCATGAGGACCAGGGCTCGTGAAGGTGAGGCTGCTCCTATCTGTCTGTAGAGGGCCTCATCCACCTGGTCCTCCTGGTCAGGTGGTTTGTAGCAGACCCCTACTACTGTGTCCCCTGTCCCTGCTCTCCCTTTAATCCTAACCCATATGTCCCTGCTCTCCCTTTAATCCTAACCCATGCTCTGTCAGTTGGGACCTCATCTGTCCCCAGGTGCAGCTCCATGCACTCTAGCTGATCTTTGACATAGAAGGCAACCCCTCCTCCTCTTCTCTGCTGCCTGTCCTTCCTAAGGAGCCTGTACACTTCTGTTCTGACACTTCAGTAATAGGATTCATCCCACCACGTCTCCATGATGCCACTAAGATCATATTCCAGCACGCGCGCACACACTTCTAACTCCTCTTGCTTATTCCCCATGCTGCGCGCATTGGCATAAAGGCATTTAAGTTGGGCCCCAGATGAATTTGACTTCCTGACTGGAGTGGCTGGGATTCCTTTCTTCTGTTCTTCAGGTACTTCCAGCATATCTTTATCATTCTTGATATTCCCCCCCTCCCCCTTTTCTGGCCTGTATTCCTATCCAGTTGTCAGCTCCATTTGTATGAAATCTCAGCGCTTTGTTTATGCAAAAAAGAGAGTTTCGTGTTTCAGTCTTTTATGTCATGTATTATTTGACTACATTTCATTTATTTTCCTTCGTCTTCCTTACATATGCTTTAGAAGTAAAAGTTTTCCTGTTTCCTTTGTGTCACTTTCTAAGATGGCATCTCTTTACTTATAACTCTTGGTTTTACTGCGGCCACAGAGGCTTATAGCCACCATCTTCTTCTTGAGGAATATTCCAAGAATTCTGTAACTTCTTTCTTTGACTGGTTCTGATCCCACATATTGCCACGCTTTTAGTGTTGGCTTTAGCAAATATTTCTTCCGTCCTCCTTCCATGACTATCCTGTATTTCTCAAATCTGTCCTACCTTCTTTTGTTTGTTCTAGCTATCCAGTCCTTGTTCTCTTTCACACTGTCGATTTTCCGTCCTGTCCGTTTATTTTCTTCCTCAATGAATCTTCAAGTGTAATTTGGCTAAGTACAAATCCTCTTTCTCTCCACTCCAGACACCAGTAGCCTAATTTCCTCCAGCAACATGAAATATTGCTACGCTACCCATTTCCTACAGGCTTGCACACAGAACTGGAGGCTATCATGCTTCCTTCCCCCTTGCTCTCCTGAGCCAAATCAAGCCATATCAAATCTAGTTGGTCTTATATATGTAACACTTCTGAAATCCTCCTCCTTTCCATGCTTCTGAGACATTAGTTAATGGTTTGGTTATTTTGATTTCTAGATTATTCTTACCTGCTTTTTTTTCCCCCAATATCCCCACATTTTCCTCCTCCTGCATTTCAGTATGTCTAATACACTAAAATATTTTTATTATTTTTTTGTAATTACTGCTAACTCGTCCCTTCTTTCCTATGGTTCTCTTTGAAATACGGAAATGTCTGTGTTATTTCCCTGACCTCTGACACCTTTCTGCCCTTTTCTTTCCACTCCCTCCCCCTTTTTTTTTAAAAAAAACAACATCCAAACAACCTGTTTTCCTTCTTTGTAGTCAGAAGTATATTACCTCTCCTCACCTGATACTTTTTTTTTTTTCACTCAGATCATACTGCCCTTCTTTAACCATCTTCTGACTTGGTTTCTGTACTGTTCTCATTTGTTGCACCCAGATGTCTTGTTTCTTATCCCCTGTAGTCATCCATGTTTGAACTGTAACTCAGTACTATTCTGCTGTGTTCTTTTTGTCTTAGCTCATTCCAGAGTGTAGTAATCTGGTCGCCTGAGCCTTGCTCACATTAGCTTTGCATGTGCTTCTTTTGGTATTGTATTATTTTATTCTCCTTAATCATCTATTACATATCACTTTCTTTAATTCTTGATTTAGAGTGGAAGCTCTGAGTGCAGAGTGCTTGTATTTTCCTATCTACGCATGACTCTTTCTTATGAACTCTTTATGGATCTCTTTGTAGACATTAAAGACTTGAGTCTGGATGGTACTTCCACAGTTCTTTACTGTAGATTTCGGGATCCTCTGCTCGCTTGGTGTAAGGAGCCATAGGGCTCCAGGGAACGGGATAACTGAGGGTGTTTACTCTCAGCATTGATAGATGTAGGAATGTAGTCTTCATTTTTTTTTAAGTAGAAGCGTAGAAATAGGAAAACAGATTCCCACTGTGGTTTATTGTCATGGTAATGACATGCCTACAGAAATTAACAAAGCTTTTTCTGAAAAGCAATTTTTCTTTGATGAAATTAGGCCTTGGCTGAGCAGTACAGTTGGTGTAAGTGTTTTTTTTTTTTTGTTTCAGCATCATGAAGCACTCTGCATTTTTTTTTTTGATTGAACTGATTAAAGTGGAATGCGTATTACTTATCAGGGCAGACTATTTGTTTTCTTAAAACGATGTGGCTACAAAATCACCTGCAAGTATTAGAAAGGTAGATATACTGTAATGGTATTGTTTTTTTCTGTATTCAGTTTTTAAAATTCAGTTTTCAAAGAAAGTCATATTTCTAAAGGCATTCACCAGTTATTAAATGAATGTTATTCAGTTTATGAAGACAAGCATTTGAGACTTAGGAAATACCAGTTTTATAGTTGCTTATACTATCTCTGTTCTGTCCCCTGTTGTCTTGAAATGAGGCATAGAATAGAAAAAACACTACATGATAATGGTAACTAGAGACTGCATCATAAAGTATAGAGAGGAGGAAGGGAATTGATATTATACAGCAATTATTTCCTTGGTATTTCTGAGCATTGGTGCTCCTAAGAACCTGAAGTCTGAGAAACTTAGAAGTACTTCAATATGGAGATTTCTGTTGTTTTTTTTAAGGGAAGAAAAAAATTCTAGTGTATATGGCTGTAACAAACTCCTTCTTACACATCTCTCAAAGGTTTGAGTCTTGAATATTGAACAATATATTGCAGTTCAAATTACAAGCTTTAATGTATTACCAAGTATCCTTAGAAGATGATGTCATCTTTCATCACCTTTTCTTGAGAAGTTGGATGCTTAATGTTTTGTTAAGCATGCCTTTTCCGACTTTGCATGGAGCAGATTGAAATCTCATGCTCTTCTTCCTTCTGTAAACCTTGTGTTAGGTTTGAAAATTGTTGAGCCTGACTGGCAGCTGTGATTCCC